ATCTGAAGGTCCGGACTCTCTGGCTCAGAATCTAAATATTTTATTTTATTTTTTTTTTTTCATTTTATTTTCTATCTAAAGTTCTGGTTCCGTCGGGTTCTGCTGCTGAGGGTCAGAAAACAATCAAACCTTTTAAATGTGTCTTGTACTTTTTATAAAAACAAACAAACAAACAAACAAACAATTTTCCGGTTAATAAACCGGTTCTGGTTCTGGTTCTGGTGGACCCAGCACCGCAGGTCCGGCTCTCTCCTCCCTCAGACTCTTGGACCGCCTCCATCCTTGAAAAGGACCCGGACCGCCCTGGACCCGAACTATTTGAACCCGAACCATCTGCACCCCCAGCATTATGATGGACCAGAACCGGGCGGCTCCTGTCTGACCGAACCTCCCGAACCCTGACCCGCAACTTTCTCTCTTGGTCCTCTGGTCCCGACTCCAGGGTCATGCCGTCCGGAACCAGCCCAAGAACCGGATTTTCTGTGCGGGACCTCCTGAACCTTCCGAACCCGCCTGGAACCGAGGAGCCGAACTCCAAAGAGGATCCGAACAGCTGGATCAACTGGAGCCGCGGAACCGGTAAGAGTTCTGTTTGTCGGAACTTTTGGTTCTGTGGACTGTCACTGTAGAACTGGACCGGTACCACTTCTGTCCGAACCTCATATCTGGTTCATTCTTGTTCCGTTGGGTTCTGATGACTTGTTCTGTTCCCAGAGTCCAGTTCAGAGCAGAAACCAGCCGAACTCTGCTCGGACGGGTCCCGGTTCGGGTCGGCCCAGAAGAACCGCGGCAGAAAGAGACGCGTGCTGTTCTCCAAGGCGCAGACCTTCGAACTGGAGCGGCGGTTCCGACAGCAGCGGTACCTGTCGGTTCCGGAGCGGGAGCACCTGGCGGCTCTGATCCACCTCACCCCGAACCAGGTCAAGATCTGGTTCCAGAACCACCGCTACAAGCTGAAGCGTGCCCGAACCGAGCGGCACCAGGAGCTGCAGCTGCTGCCGAACCGGGTCACTATCCCGGTTCTGGTGCGGGACGGGAGGCCCTGCGAACCGTTCCGGTCCGGATTCAGGTCCGGAATCAGCCTGCCTTTGTGCGCCTACCCACCTCTGCTGCACCCAGCCTGCGGTTCGGAACCGAGTGGACCGAACGGACCGCAGCAGCATCTTGCCCACTTTTACCCCTGGACCTGGTGACACCAGAACTTTATGAAGGTCCAGAAAAGACTGAAGACATGTTCTGGTTCTGTTGGGTTTTTCTCCTCTAGAACCTCCTGGTTCTGGTGGACGGGTTCTGTCTCATCACTCATTCTAACCGAACCGAACCGGCTTGCATCACCTGCTTGTTGTTGTTGTTGTTGTTGTTGTTGTTGTTGTTGTTGTTGTTGTTGTTGTTGTTGTTGTTGTTGTTGTTGTACTCTGCTCATGGTGCTGACCCAAGGCTCGGCTCAGATGGACTAAATAAATAAATAAAACCGGTTCAGTTCAGTTCTGTTGGACCCAGTTTGGTTCAGACGGTTTTTATAATCGGTACATAAAACTAAACACGTGAAAAGGTTGAAAACCTGATTGATGTTCTCTAAATTATTGTCTTTTCTGAAAATATCCGTCAACATTTCATTTGTTTACCGTGTTTCTTTGTAAATAAAATATAAGTTATTGTTGCATTTTGAAATATTTTACATAACACAAACATTTAAAAACTGATTTTCAAAACAAATGTTTCAGCTCCAACATGTTTATATTTGTATTAGCTTGAAAATTTCATTTTTTTTCTGCATGTGACGATAAAAAAATCAGAGAACCTCAGAAAACCCCTCAGAGACCCTTAATGGATGATGGATGATGGATGATGGATGATGGATGGATGGATGGATGATGGATGGATGATGGATGATGGATGGATGGATGGATGGTTGGATGGATGATGATGGTTGGATGAATGGTTGGATGGATGATGATGGTTGGATGGATGGACGATGGTTGGATGGATGATGGACAGATGGATGGTTGGTTGGATGGATGATGGATAGATGGATTTGATGGATGAATGATGGATGAATGGATGAATGGATGGAGGTATGATGGATGGATGGATGGATAGATGGATGGATGGATGATGGTTGGATGGATGGTTGGATGGATGGATGATGGTTGGATGGATTTGATGGATGGATGATGGATGGTTGGATGGATGGATGATGGATAGATGGATTTRATGGATGGATGATGGATGGTTGGATGGATGATGGATAGATGGATTTGATGGATGGATGATGGATGGTTGGATGGATGATGGATAGATGGATTTGATGGATGGATGGATGGATGGATGATGGATAATGGATGGATGACGGTTGGATGGATGATGGATAGATGGATTTGATGGAT